CAACAAATCCAGAGGTCCCGGGTTCAATTCCCAGTGCTACCAGATTTTCTGAGAAGTAGTGGGTTTGGAACGGGGTCCACTCAGCTACGTGAGGATAATTGAGAAGTTATTTCAAGGAAATAGCGGTTCCGGTCTAGAAAATCGAGATTAACGGCCATGGTGATCCGTTTCGATGACCACACGACACCCTCTATCCTGTAAATTTGGCACTAACTTCGCCGACAAGCGGCGTTCGCTCGGTCGGTATAGTTCGCTTGCAGACTACAGGCCACGGAGTTAAGGGTATTAGAGAACAAATTACTGAGGAGAATATTTGAAAGAAGAGAGATTGAATAACAGGGGAATGGAACTTATACATTAATCCTTTATCTACGAGTAATACTACCACAGTGATTTCATCAATAAGAATAGGTGATTAGGGAATTTAGAACTAACGCTGGACACAAAAAAATGTTTACTGTCTTTCAGTGGAAAATATGATGACAAGGAATTATTTGCAAGGACCTAGCGGTAGAAATGGAGATAATATTAAAATTTGAACTGAAAGACTCGTGATTACTATGATTTTGGACGTTGTCCATTGTCCGGTATTCTAAAGAAATCTAAACAACACAACGTTTCGGAAACTGGGTTTCTTTCCATCCTCAGGTGGAGGTGGGGTTGGGGTTGGGAGTAGGAGACAACTACTCGGTTGGGTCAGTGAAAAAGAGCTAATCCCATTCACTGGGCACAGCAGACCCACACAGTACACCTGATCCACCTGATAGCGCAGTCGGTATAGCGACTAGCTACGGGCTGGACGGCGAAGTATCAGAGTTCGTGTACCTGAAAAGCAACAAGCCTTTTCGCCTTGTCACGTGGTCCAGACCGGTTCTGGGTCCCACCCAGCCTCCTATTCAGAGGTTTCGAAGGGGGTAAATTTGTCGAAGGGCGAGGCTGACCACTCACTTGCAACTAGTAAAAGGTAAAGCTATCCCTGGTAAGTAGCCGTGAAGGCCCATAGGGTATTGAGACATCGAGGATCCCACATTTACTTTAGACAATAGGCTCACAGATGGATGTAAGGTTGTCCGCCTTACGCGCTGGCCGCCCTTTACCCCCCAGGAAGATTGCTGGTACTCATTTCTGTTAGAGGGTGAGTCGACCCCAGGGCCATATTGCGGCTGAAAGATTAGGTCGATTGAAAATTCCAATGATATCATCGGGAATCGAACCCGCTACTTTCAGGCTTGTATCATAGTGCCTCAGTGTCGAGGTCAAAAATAAGTGGATCAGTATATCTACTCTTCCATACACTTTCATGGCGTAGTGTTTAATTAGTTAAGCACAGGGATAAATTTTACACCGTACATTTTTTATATTATTCAGGATATGAATGTTACTGTTATTCATCTGTTAAATGAAAGGCCCTTCAGACAACACGCACTTAGCAAACGACAATAGTTTGGAGCGCTGACGGACAGGAGATACAGTAATCTGAAAACCCTTTTACAAATTTCCGTAATAATCGGATGTCGATCTCCTCGCTGGCCTAAAGGAAGTTGAACCCCTTCCCCACACAAGCCCCCCCCCTTTCTGTCTCTCCCTCCCTCCAATTCTCTGGGTATAACAAAACAGGCAACTCTGCTGAAATATTAACGAGAGAATTCTGGCTTTGAAATAGGAAACTGGAAAAGAAAGTACGTATTCCCGCCAAATAAGAGCGCAGTGTTTACTGAGAGTGTGGGCCCCGCACAGCTGGCTAAACTGGTCAGAGAACACACACACAGCTGTTGTTGCTTTATCATTTCGATGCATGGCTCAAGCAGCGCCTGTAACTGCAAAACTGAGACCTCAGGTTCTCTCGTCTGTCAGCGTTATGATTATGGTCTTCTGGTTTGTGACTCCATGAGGTCTGGTAGACAGGTACAAGTGCAAACCGAAGCCTGATGCTGACCATACATCTCCAGGCAGTGCAGAATTTAGCTCCGAACTCCTAGTTTTCTCTGTAGATTCTGAAGGGTACTTACAGTGGGGTGTAACACTCGGAATTTTCCATTGCCCAGTATTCGTCCAGACCGGCTCTGGGGCTCACCCATCCTTCTATCCAATGGGTACCTGGGGCTCTTTCCCCCTGGGGTAAAGGGGTCGAGGAATGACCTCACCACTCACTACCAACTAATGGCGAGATCAAGAAAACGTGGATCTATACATCCACTTCCCCATACGCCTTTGTGGCGTAGTGCTTAATTAGTTAAGCACAGGGACAGTTTTATCTTTTTCATCATTGCTAGTATTCTAAAGAGTACCAAAGAACACGACGTTTCGGAAACTGGATCTGTTTCTGTCCTCAAATGAAAGAGTGGGAGGCAAATACTCTGTTGTGTCTGTTAAGATGAGCCGTTTAGGATACACTTGCAGAACCGGTATGGACCCGGTGTATACCCTTCCTATAGGAAACTAGAACGCTTTCATATGACGTTCCACTTGATATGCACATCTCAGGATATTATCCCTAAAGACCTTGGTTCAGTGAATGGGGTTTGATATTTCTAACAGACGCAGTGTAGCAGGCGTCTCCCACCCCCTCATTTGAGGATGGAAACAGATCCAGTTTCCGAAACGTCGTGTTCTTTATTTTTCTTCAGAATACCGGATGTTGGACAGAGCAGAAAATTGCCGTAATCTCGAGTGTCCTATTCGTTTATGCTTGGTGTCACGTGTACTGGAGATTTCGAGATCATCGTTCTTCATATTTTACACGTTAGGTGACATATTTACATATGAAGAAGGAATGTGTTTATACTGTAAAATATTTTAATGATTTCCGATTATAATTCCCTCATCAGCCGAGGCCTATTTTATATTCACGTTTTATAACTTAGAAAAAATGTAATCTAACGTGTACCTAAATGCAATGTAAGATATATTTAGTGCACCAAGACGTTAACAAAAGTATTAGTTACTGACCTGTCTAGCATTCTTTTGCAACTAGGGAGTATGCACTTACGACCTAAGCTTATTTAGCGTTACTCACTGGAAAATGCAATTTCTGGAAAGCTTCCACGTTAGGGTACAAAGAAAGGCAGACTGACATATATAATGAATAAGGCGCATGAAATTCTAATTATGCCATAGTCTTCTTTATGAATGGCGCACGGAACACAATTATGACAAGAGAGAAATTAAACAAACTACATAAGAAACACTGCCTTATAAACTTAGTTATTATTATGTAAATTAATTACTTGCCTTTCAACTATATACTGTTTAAATATCTATTAAGTCTATATATTATTTTGCCTGTTCCCATTCAGAATTAATTCTAAATTAAGGAACTTATAGACAATTGGTAGGTCACCTTGGACAGGAGATCAGCCTGTCACAAGGCCGCTACCTACATAAGATAACACAAACATAGAAGAAATGCACACAGAAATCTATGCCTCGAGTGAGATTTTAGCCCATGATCTCAGAGTTTGAGCGTGCGAAGACATTTTGTGCCTTAGATCTAGCGGCCATTTTGATCGGCCAGGCATATTTTCTGCTTCTAAAAGCCTCATTTATACTTAGGAACACCAGAATTCCGCTGAAGGCGACGAAAATTTCGTAGCCTTCCCTGATTTGAGGCACATCTTCTTTATGAAAAGTTAGTCAAAATATCACGAGTATTCCAGACAATTCTTCGGTGTGTAACTCATGAAACAGTTTCATTTACAGAACTGCTTCTCGCGTTTAGATTACTGCCACTTAACGGCCTCATTATGAATAAAAGAGCGGCATGCATTATTTTCATGTAACAGGAATCCAAGAAAGTGGGGGGTGCAAAATGTACCGCCACAGGCAAGCAGGCAGAGAGGCAGCGGCTGGATTCCCGCGTGTTTTCACTCGGTCCTGTCCCTCATGTAGTGTGTACTCACAGGCAAGGCAAACATTTGTATATACCACGTTTCTGTGCGCTGAGGTTACGTCTGTTCGTTTTAAAGAGCTCGTGTAACATATGTATTTAAACTAGAATATAAAGTAACTTCTTAATGCATGGCCTTAACAGTTTTCTGTTTATATTAGCAGTAAAATTGTAACATTTTAATGTTAGTCCAATGGAAATAGAACTATTCATTTACGGCGTTGAATAACTCGCTTTTAGAAGTTAAGAAATAAGGTGATTTGGGGTTTTGTTTCATTAAATGAACTCTAAGATTTTAAAGGTAATATCTTACAATTATGTTTTCTGAAAATACAGCTTTTATTCTTTTGATTTATCCTTTTGTAGACAAAACGTCAACCCAGTAAGTAAAGTAAAGTTAAAGCAAATTTGTCCCCATGCTTAATTAATTAAGCACTGCTCCATGAAGGCGTATGGAGGAGTGGATGTATAGACCCATTTTTCTTGACCTCTGCACTAGTTGGATGTAAGTGGTCAGTTTCACACCCGGGCCGCTTTACCCCAGGGGAAAACGCCCCTGGTACCCGTTTGATAGGAATCTGGAGAAGGGGAATTTTTGGCCCTACCGGGACTTAAACTCCGACCCCTCGGTCATGCATCCCGTAGCCAGTTGCTATACCGACTGAGCTATCTCGACACCCAAACGCCAGCCCAATAGTTTTATAAAATATTTACACAGCTTCACAACTGATTTGGCGAGTCATTGAATGCTCAAAGAAAATATAATTCATTTATTCGCCAGTAAAGAGAATCATGTGAACAGCAAATGTTTTGAACATGTAAATTCCTGTATGAAATATCTTGGTAGGTTTATGGGTTAATGCAATCTCATTGACTTTTGTATGTCAACATACGTTTTTGTTTTCACACATGATAACAGAATGTTACGTACAGATAAACAAACCTTCATTTATCTTGAATGCATTATATTTTTTGCCATATTTGATGGAAATAATAATAGTTTCAATATTGAATCACTCTATTTTTTACCATATTTGATTGAGACATCATTATTGTGACATGACGCCTGAAACCCAGAATATGACCATCTGCTAGGCAACGCTTCGGTAAGCACATTCATTCATTCATTCATTCATGTTTATTCATCCTGTAGATCAGATTACATTGATATAGGACATGTCACATAATATAAATTATAAAATTAACAAAATACAGTAGATTCTAAACCAGTAAACACTCAAGATATGTAATGACTACTTACATCTAGCATGTATCACAATCTAATATATCACAGTCCATCCATACATTCATACATTCAACATTCACTATCCATAGATCGGACCACACAGGTGTAGAACATGACACAAGTAATAAATTATAAAATTAGCAAGGTGCGAGAATTCATAACAAATAAAATCACAAAATATGTAATGACTATCATATCTAGCATATATCAATATGCAGCATAACAAAATTTATCCAAACATTCATTCACTCAAATAAATTATAAAATCAGCAAGATACAATAAGATCAAAACCAATAAACTCGCAAATATGCAATGAGTATTCACATCAAACACGCAACAATTCCAACAATTCAGAATTATCTATACATTAATCAATTCATATTTACCCATATCACAGATCAGACTACATTAAAATAGGACATATCTCATGAAACGAGTTGTAAAACCAACAAAATTACAACAAATTATAAACCAACAAATTCACAAAATATGTAATGCAATATCACATGCAACATATATAACTATCCAGCATTACAGAATTTATCATTCATATAGTCATCAATTGAGTAGTAGCATCTATTTATGAGCAAATTCTTAAGTTCCCTTATAAACTGGTTTTTATTGTCAAGCTGTTTAATACTATTGGGTAATTTATTATAAAAGATACAGCCAGCAACAGAAGGTTTGCTGTTATAAAGTTCTAAGTTATGCACCCATTTATGGTAGTCATTTTTGTTTCTAGTATTGTGAGTGTGTACTTGTTTATTTACCGTACAGTTACACTTATTAGTTGCATATAAAATGGTTTGAAATATGTACATTGAATATAATGTTAAAATCTTTAGTTGTACAAAACTGTCTCTACAAGATTCTAAGGGTTTTAGCCCAGCAGTGTACCGTACGGCTCTTTTTTGAAGAATAAAAATTCTTTTAGTAAGTGCCTTAGCACTGTTTCCCCATACTACAATTCCATATGATAAAAAGGGGAAGATCAAGCCATAATACAACATTCTTCTGCCCTTTAGGTCTAATAATTTAGCAAGTCTATTTAATAAAAACAAGTTACGACTAATTCGACTACAGGTTCTATCAATATAAACATCCCAACTCAAGGTGCTGTCTATTTCCACACCCAAAAAGTTTATACTATTCACATTTTCTATTTCCATATTCTTAACTAAAATTTTATATTTATAGTCCTGCCTACATTGCTTTGTTTGAAAAAAAATGCAGTGCGTTTTAGTTGGATTTATGAATAAATCATTCATCTCAAAGTATTTTTCCACAACTCCAATATTAGTTGAAGTTATATATTGGAGTTCATTTATATTCTGTCCCATATTCAAGATTGAAGTATCATCAGCATACATTATAGATCTACCTTGTGTTAGGTGAGGAAAGTCATTTATATATAAAATAAAAAGCAAAGGACCAAGAACTGATCCCTGAGGGACTCCAAATTTAACTGGCAGGCTACTCGATAGATATTCCTTTATTTCATTGGTTTCCCTATGTAAAACTTTCACCTGTTGTGTTCTATTTGTAAGATAAGATTTAATTAACATATGTGGAATACCGCGGACACCATATTTATATAATTTATCCATAAGAATGTTGTGCTGAATACAATCAAATGCTTTTGATAGATCTAAAGAGACACAATTACAATTTATTTTATCATTCAAGTTATCTATTATATTTTCAATAACTGTGGCAATAGCATCATTAGTAGAATGTTTCTTTCTAAAACCAAACTGAAATTTATTTAAAATATTATGTTTATCTAAGAAGGCTATTAGTTGATTAACTATTACTTTTTCTAAGACCTTAGAGAAAGTAGGAACAAGTGTAATAGGTCGATAATTACTTGCATCTTCCTTAGTCCCCCCTTTATAAATAGGGGAAACGACCGATTTTTTTAATATAGATGGAAATATACCATCTCTAATTGATGCGTTAACCAATTCTAAGAGCGGTTTAGCAATATAAGGTATACATGATTTTAACAAATAAGGAGAGATATCATCAAGTCCAGCAGACTTTTTATTCGCCATACTGTGGATTATTTTAATCAAATCGGCCTCTGTTATTTCAAGCAAAACAAATGAGTCTTTTAAGCTATCAATATTATTAATGGTTTGTGGGTGGATTAAGTTTTTATCAAGTATTAGATTGTTAACAGTTTCTACAAAGGTTTTATTAAATATATTACAAGTTCTGTTTGGACATGAAACCTTTTGTTTTCCATCAAATAAGTTTATATTTCCAGTGAGTTTATTATTTAAAGAATCTCTTTCACGATTTACAAATTTCCACAGTGCTTTTGGAATGTTTATTGATCTATTTATTATATTCTGAATATGATTTGCTTTTGCAGTTTTAATGATTGTATTATATACTTTTTTATATGCTTTATAAACATTTTTATATTCTTGAGATTTGCATTGTATATAAAGATCATACAAATTTCTTAATTTTGTTCTGGCTATGACAACATCCTTATTTATCCAGGTAGCCTTATTTACACTTGCAAAGTTTCGTCTTACCTTTGGACAGGCTATATTAAAATAATAGTTAAAGATGCCATAGAAAGAGTTCCACTTGATCTCAATATCATTATCATTAAATACCTCCATCCAAGTTTCAGTTTGTATATAAGAACAAAAGCAAGTTATATTGTCATCAGATAAATCTCTACCAACTTTATAACACCTTTTTAGTACTGGTGGGGTAATATTAATAGTTATACATTGAGCATAGTGATCAGAAAGTAAGCTATTTATAACATTAGTATAATAGCAGTTAACAGGTATATTAGTAATGATCTGATCTATAATCGTTGCTGTGCTCTCTGTTACTCGAGTAGGGATATTTATTGTCATAATCATGTTATAAGCATTAATGATATCTAATAATTGCTTATGACCACATCCATTTTCCATAGTATTTATATTTAAATCTCCAACAAGAATGATATAACGATCTTTCTGAGCAAGCTGCTGCAATATATCAATTAATAAGTTAAAGAATTCATTCATTACACCACTAGGTGATCTATATAATGCTAAAATTATAAGTTTAATCTTGTCACACATTATTTCCATACCAGTAACCTCAAGAGTTTTTTCAATGCTTTTCCCAGTAACCCAATTCAAGTGTTTACATTGTACCATATTACTGGTACTGTAAATAGCTATCCCTCCACCTTTATATTCATTCCTACAAAAATATGAGACTAGAGTATAACCTCCTAATATACATTGATGGATTTCATCCTCTTTAAGACCATGTTCAGAAATAGCTAATATATCAGGGGTAGTACTTTGGAGAAATTCAGTAAATATTTCAATTTTATTACTAAGATATTGAGCATTTTGATGTATTATTTTCAAATTATATTTTGGCTTGACTACCCCAACTGGGAATGACTGGAACCCAAGGGATCCAGTCTTCATTGTGAGTTTCCCTGGTTTAGATCATCTAAAACTATTACATTTAGTTGGTTCTTTTTATTATCACTTATTATTTTACTTATTTCTTGAGTAATATATTCTTTACCTAGTCTGTTTAAATGCTGCCCATGCCTTGTGTGATAGGTTCTGCTTATATTACTTATATCCAATACTTTAACATTTCTAAATCTTTTACACACCTTGTTTATGTCAGCATTTGTTTTTCTTATTTCCATATTTACTACTGAATCTTTTATTAAATCATACCTAATCGGTATATTAAGAACAACAACATTTGTACAAGTTAGTGCGGAAAGTGTTCTCTTTACAACATTGATACAAGTCTTTCTTTCGTTACTAGCAATATCATTAGCACCACCCATAATTATTACATGGTCCTTTGGGCCAAGTACAGCACAATCTCTTACACAGTTTTTCAAAACATCATATACCTTAGCACCCGGCCTAACCTCACCGGACACTGAAACATCAACATTAGATTTATTTAGTGATGTGGGTATGCCACGACCAAAGCTGTCACTATAAAACATCAATTTATTCTTATTTTTCACGTTCTTTTTTTGACAACTAAGTGTTTTCTTTTGCACAGTCTCATCAGCAACATCATTAAGAGGGGAAAATCTGTTACTTGTTGAAACTGAAAACTGTGGAGTCACCTGTTTTCTTCTCGATTTACCTTTAGCTGCCTGGCTCCAACCAATTTCGTTTTCAAAATGTACTGGAGGATGTACTTCTTGATCTCTTTCCCTTTGTAAGATAGATATCATTTCTCGCAATGACGATATTTCCTCTAACAACTTACGGATAGCTTCACACTCAACATACTGCGTAGTCATAACCTCACTTTCCGGAGCATTTTGTCGTGAGCATGAAGCACAGAGCCATTGATTATCAGGTATTTTGTCTTCATTTACATTGCTACACTTATTAAAATGATACCATTTATCACAATTATCGCATAGTATGCCGTTTCTCACCACTTTATTACACTTTCCACACTTAATATCTACTAAAATGTTATTGCATGCAGCTGTCTGGCCACCACTGTCCGCCATGTTCCAAAGCAATCAAAGCATTGCCGTAGCAACGCAGAATAGGCCGTTGCTGGACAACGGTTAGGTAAACACATATTCCCGTGGCAACGGACAGCACGAACGAGTAGTTACCAGGTAACAAGTTGCTAGACACGAGATTCCCGTGAGAACCGACAGGATAACAGACGAACTATTCAGCGTGGTGTCTCCTATGCGCACCGTCTAGCAGTCACAAAAGGAGCAGAGACTAGGAACCCGAGAACCAGAAGAAATACAGCGAGAGATTCGTCATCAAGAACGAATTCAATGTGTGAACTGTTGTAATCAACTATAATTGTAATGGAGACGTCCAATAAATCCAATCATCAAATATAGAACCCACAATTATTCGTCACGCTAATCCCTTACACGTGACAATATTTTCAACAATAAAAGTAAAAAAAAAATAAAGCTATCCCTGTAACAACCATAAGGTTGTAAGACGTTGAGGGTCCCACATTATCTAGATAATCGGCTCAAAGATGGCGGTAAGGTTGTCAGCCTTACGCGCCGGCCGCGCTTTACTCCCCAGGAAAATTATTCCGTGAATTCCTGGTACTCATTTCTGTTAGAGGCTGAGTGAACCCAGGGCCATAGTGCGGCCGGAAGGATTAGGTCAATTGAAAAAGATCCAATGACCTCATCGGGAGTTGAACCCGCGACCTTCCAATTTGTAACATAGTGCCTCAACCAACTACACTACCGTCTGCCCCCCATTTTCGACAATAGAGCATTTTTATTGTTGCTTTACATGACTGAGTTTTTAGTAAGTTATCAGCTTTGCTTGAAGCAATGAGTGACGAGGGAGTCTGCTTGCGTTCGGGGTTCAGTGTGGGGTGTGAGAAGGCGACAGGTCCTTCAGACTTTCGACAGTTTTGCTGTAATTAAGTGTCATGTACAAGAACTCGTGTACTCACAGTCGCCTTACAACTTTAATGCATATCAACAAATAACATAAGAAATCGAACTCTTGGATTAGAATTCTAGGCGTAGAGGCAATAGCGTCGCGTATGCATACGTTATCGACAAAACCGTATAAAATTTCAGGTAAGATTATCAGCTTTTGTAATCTGACCCTGGACCTTCTGAACGAGTCCTTTCTATCTGAGTGAGTATGTAATTAAATGGTCTTTTAGCAAGCGTTTGCACTGCACAAAATATTGTAGCATGTAGACCCGTTGCTGATCAACGACCACGTGATAAGCAAATATACAACAACCTTTACTGCGTAACGGCTTCGCAGACAAGCATAGTTAATGAGACAGTCTCCGGCCGGTAAGAATATGAGTACGGAAGCAGAGGATATTGTTGGGATCCGTCACCAAGGAACGACTGCTGAAGACATAACAAACTAAGAAAATTTTATGTGTGTTGTATTTACAGTGATCTTCGGCGTATGTAACTCTGTGAGACTGCCCTAGTCATTTGTCATTACGTTCTGTAAGTTAGCAATAAATCCTATTACCAGTACAAACCCCGTTAATAGTCATACTCACACACGTGGCAATATGTAAAATTTGCATTATACCTTAATAACGATTTCGGCCTTTTGCAAGAAATACATCATGAGGATATAGAAAGACGCATTTTAGAAACTTACAGAAATTTTATGGACATTCGAAACTAAAGCAGAAACTCTTCGTCTTAAGTTTTGATTCGTGACATCAAGAAGATTAGCCGACCTTGCTCTACACCTAGCAAGTTGATTTAAGCGGTAAAAATTCTTCCTTCCACATCCATCCCAAATCATTATTCACTTATCATGTAATTATTTTAGGCTACAAGCTTTTAGTCTGAGATTTTGATAGCCCTGTTCAGGAATCCGTAAATAAGTATGTAAGATTTGAGGTTTTCACGGCGGTGACTATGAAGAATGCCGTCTTCTGGGATGTGGCGCCGTGTAGATCTTGTGTGAACAGAGGTTTCGGAGGAACATATCACCTCCATCTCCAAGGTAGAAAAATCCGCGATCGAAGAACCAGTGTGAGCAGGTGGTTGTTGTCTGTAACGTCGGTTCATACAAGATCTACACGGCGCCACGACCCAGAAGACGGCATTCTTCATAGATAAATAAATAAATTACGATTCGTTTTTGTTTCTTATTAATCCCCATTCAGACTTGGATATAAAGAAGGAATTTTATAACATTAGAAGAGTTCGCACTGTCTTAAATATTTACACGTGCACTCATCACTGTTTACGTGTAATCTCCTTCTGGGGTTTAGTCCTAGCTCTTTACGCTGTGAAGTTTCTTAGTCGACATAATGTACTTTCAGACGGTCAACAGAACTTCGTTAAGCTTATTGGAGAAACTTCGAAGTGATCCGTTTAATCGTCTCGAGGGTTGCTCTGAATTTACCAGTTGATCGGCATCAGAAAAGTATTGACGATGTTGGTGTGGTCCATGTGTGACTGACAGAGAAAGATTTTACAGTATTTGCAAAATTCTGGAGTGGTGAAAATACTTCATCCTACATGCACGACATAAACCGCCTCTTTGGTCTAGTGGTCAGAGTTCCTGGCTACAGATCTAGAGGTCCCGGGTTCTATTCCTGCCGCTACCAGATTTTCTGAGAGGTAGTGTGTCTGGAACGGGGTCCACTCAGCTTCGTGAGGATAATTGAAGAGCTATTTCAGGGAAATAGCGGCCCCGGTCTAGAAAACCGAGATTAACGGCCCTGGGGATCCGTTGCGTTGACCACGCGACACCCTCTATCCGCTAAAGTTGACACTAACTCCGCCGACAAGCGGCGTTGGCTCCGTCGGTATAGTTCGCTTACAGACTACAGGCCACGGAGTGTGTTGTTGTTTGTCTGCAAAATTCTATATTGGAGAAAATGATTCATTCTAAATGCACGACATTCTACGTGGACCCGTGTAACCGATTCCAAATTCAGACTGCACACACGGAGTTTATATGTCGGTATTTTGAATTTTAAGCAGCACCATTTCCAAAATGGAAGTCTATGCTTCCTTGGCAAAAATAATATAATTATTATTATTATTATGACTATTTTATCTTCAGTGTTTGCCTAATTGGCTTTCAGTTGCTTTCAAGTAAATAAGTAAATGAAATGTATTGAATTGAATTATTAATATTTTTTCTGCTTCTTATTTATTCTACCTGGGGCACGAGATAGCGTAGTTGATTGAGGCACTGTGCTACAAGTCGGAAGGTCGCAGGTTCAATTCCCGATGTGGTCACTGGGGTTTTCAATTTACCTAATCCTTCCAGCCGCACTATGGCCCTGGGGTCGACTCAGCTTCTAACAGAAATGAGTATCAGGAGTCTTCCTGTTGGGGGGGGGGCGGTAAATGGCGGCCAGCGCGAAAGGCTGATAGCCTCACCGCCATCTGTGAGCCGATTGTCTAGAAAATGTGGGAGCCTCGATTTCTCAAAAGCCTATGGGCCTGCACGGACTCCTCCAGGGGTAGCTTTTCTACTTTTCCTTGCCTTTATTTACTCCACATTTCACCCATATAATTGGTCATTACTCTGACAGTACAGCTGCTGTAATTATCAGGTGACTCTCTTCGTTTTGTCCTTTTCTTCGTTGGCTATTTAACGGCCCTATCAATACCGAGACTATATATATTGTGACATGTTGACCCCTACCTTCCCAGCTGCACGTAGCTGTAACGTAGCGCTCGCGTAATAGGCGAGTAATCACCCCGCATCCTGGTAGCTATGCAACGCGCAACGCGTGGTGACGTCACCGAGGGATATCGCGGTTGCTAGGCAGCAGTCAACAACTCCGGACAGCGTGGCTAGCAACAAGGCACCAGACGACAATTGTCCGATCAAGGCTACATAAGGAGCAGCGAAGGCTATTCACAGTCAGTTAGTCCTGGAGCTACCTCCGAGTTAGTCCTCGAGCTACCTCCGAGTTAGTTCCGAGTTAGCCAGCAACCAGTCAGTTGTATTGTGGCATTTGGAGTGTACTATTTGTGATACTGCAGATAGCAGTAATCGTAAATCTGTAATTTGGGTGATTGTAAGTGCGAATGTGAAATAAAATTCGCTACATCAAATACATCGTGAAGTTATTTGTCGCGTTATACGCCCGATACGTGACAATATATATACCTTTATATACAGGCCGGTCACGGTATCCGAGCGGTCTAGGGCATGTACTGTCTTCGCTCGCTCGGAAGCCGGAATCGTGGGTTCGAATCCCATGCAAAGCATGGATGTTTTGGTATGGTTTTGTGTTTGGGTAGAGGCCTTGCGACGAGCTGATCATCCGTCAAATTAGTCCTACTGGCTAAAAATAACCATGAAACTGAAAATCAGAGGCCAGGTCCCAAGGGGCTGTAGAGTCAGTGAAAAAAAATAATATATATATATAATCGGTTAATACGGTAATTAATGAATGTAGAGCTGTTGATGGAATGAGAATTGACAGGGGAAGCCGAAGTGCTCGGAGGAAATCCCACCCCCATTCCACTTTTTCCTCTAAATTCTTATAGTCCTGCTCAAGTACTGTCAGTTATTCATTCACGATTTGCGTAAGCGCCCGTATTTCGTTACAATTTTTCTTACAATAAGCTCTGATGAAATCTCATATATACTGGTTACCAAGATGCCGTCTTCGGCCGTTAATCGCTGGCGGGGGCCCGGTTTCAATTCCAGGTCAGGTCATGTGGGATTTGTGTTGGATGAAATGGCACTGGGGCAGAATTTATCCGAGTGCTTTGGCTTTCCCGGCCAATTCTCTTTCCACGAACTACTCCACGCCCATCTATCATCATCATCATCATCATCATCATCATGGGCTGGTACAATACGCCCGCTAGTGGCCGGCATAACAACCCAGTCTACGAATAAACAAAAATGTTTCTGATCACAGTCTTGTAGTACCATCGGACATTTCGCTCCTATTTACCGCTGTGGCGCCGACTAGTGATTGTTTTACGAACTAAACGAAACAACAATGGGCGTATATTGCTTTTGCACAGTAAAGCGGGTGTGATCGCTTACCAGAGGGGACACTACGCGAGAAAAAAAATGTGTT